TACAAATTTAAATTTAAATAAATAAACAAAACAACTGGGGAAAAGCCACAAGTGCCTAATATTTAAAATAGGTCTTATTTTTGGAAATTAAAAATATATATAAAAATAACCGGAATAAAATATATAACAGAATATTGTTTATTAAGCTCTTTAATCCATAGAACTAAAACATAAATAGTTATAGATTTTTAGCTCTCAGAGCCTCATAGAGAACGACGCTTTCATTCATAGGATCAGACGGAAAGATGGACGTACATTGTTCAAGAGTATATATAATTGATGGGGTCTGCCACACCACCTTCTGCCTATTACACACATTTTAATATTTATAACCTGAATTTCCATTTTGGATTCAGGGTATGCAAAATACGTAAATTAATTTATAAAAGAAACAATTTTTGTAATAACAAGAATATATATACTTTATGAGGTCTGCCACGCCTCCTTCTGCCTGTTACATACATTTCAACAAAACCATTATACCCTGATTTCCCATTTTCAATGGGTTCAGGGTATAAAAACAATAAAAATAAATAGATACTTATTTTTTTGACATTTCTGCTGCTTTTTTTTTTCTTAGCAATGAATTAACTTTCGGAATTTATTTTTATCTATTATTTTTTTCATAGATAATAAATCAATAGGAAAGCATTTCTTTTGTTTTTATCTGTTTATTTAATTTTTTTTTACTCGTTGCTATTAGCTAAGAAATTAATAATAGTAAAAAATAAATACATATATACAATATGCACATATATAAATTTACTTATATACACATATATTTATTTTTACATATTTTTTAAAGCGATTTTTTTTAATTTTACGTAAAAATAAAGCAATTAAAATTTTGTAAAATTTTCTTTGTTGTTTGTGGACAAGCCCGGCGTATGCGCAATATTATATAAGCAGCGTATACGTAATGTGTATTCGGCGTTTTCTGCTACGACTCTTTCTGCTGTAACATACTATATCCTATATATCTCGATTGCTAAACTCTGACACTATTATTAATGGCAATTATCTGGGCTCAGTGCGCGGCCGTCTTTTGCCTAATTGAAAGTAATTAATGCAATTAAAAATTGAAAAGAAAAGAAGCGATGAGAGACGCTTGAATGCGATCAAACGAATACAACGTGAATATGCGTGCAACAACAACAAATGAACAAACCACAAAATTAATACAAATAATAACAACAATCAATAAAGCCTCTCTATGCGCTTCTCATTTTCGTTTTTTTTTTTTTTTCGCGTGTCAAACGTTGCTTTTTTTCTGTCTCTCTTTTTGAAGGTCGCCTTCCGCCCATTTGCCATTTCACATTGGAAATTTTCATTCATAAAACCAAGTGCCGATCATTACAATGCTGAATAACTATATTTATATATCCATATACATATGTAAGTTTATATGGCTATCACATGTATGAGTATTGATTTGCTTTGTGTAAAAGAACTGGAACTCTATTAGAGGTGAGTTTTTCTATTGAAGACTTTTATGAATCTCTACTCGTACCTCTTTTATTGGCTATTCTATAGGGTAGCCTCTAGTCTTATATATCTCTCCCACTTGCATTAATTGTAAATTACAAGCATGTCCATGTGTGTGTGTGAATGTGATCGTGTGCAATGGGGTAAATGTGTGCTAATTGCAACACTTTATCACTTAAAATGTGATAAACCATCAGCATCATTTTCTTCGGTCTTATTACGGGCTTGAAAGCTCTTAAAGTATGTCGGCTAGAGGAGGCGGTAGTGTGGCGATATTGATAAGATAAGGGCGGCAGGGCACTATGTTGCCTAACTTCTGATTGGCGTTGTCTGTACGCGCATAGAACATATAAAAGCGAGGCATATAAAAATGGAAAGCAAACACAAAAAGAACAACAGCAAAAAAATACCAGACGACGAAAGAGTAAGACAAATGACATGGTGAACTGATTAGGAAAAAAAATATCAATTGTATAGTTGGAGTGGTTTTTTTCTTGTGCTATTTGGTAGAAGGTCAAGCATAGCGCGAGCTGTACTACAATGTGAAGTGCGATGACGTATGTATGTATACATATCTTTATGTATTTTGTATCGCACAGATAGATCTGCAATTCATATTGCTGACATAACTTTATTTAATTCATTAAAACTTGTCTGCACGAGCTAATATAAGATATTTTAGAACTTTAACTCGAATAGTGTCTGAGTTCAATGAGGTTATTATCGTTGAATATGTCTAGATTTGTTAAACATGACACAAATATATATATGTGAGCATTGACCATTTGTCAGTTTTTTCTGCTCTAGCTTTCAGAAAAGCCGATTTATTTGAGATTATAAAGAGTAAAACATATGTAGCTGTGAATAATTGTACAAATAAAACCTTTGATATTTCTTAAAGGAATTGCTACATCGTCACAGGGTATACTACTGGTCGCGTATCCAATTAAACTTTAGCTCCGTGTCTTGCTCTCTCCCTCTCTCATACTCTCTATCTGGCATCACGCGGCTATCTCTTAATAAGTGTCTCTTAATTAGCAGACGGATTTCTTCGTGGCCGATGAGCATTTTTCTTGCTGGCAAATGCGCCCTCGCGATTGCCCTGAACTTGCGCCGGCTGTTCTCCACTAGCCTCCACCGGGATGAAGGCATGGCTGGTCAAACCAGTTTGCATGCAGATTCAGCGACAAGAAGCAAAAGAGAAGTCTGGAATGTAGTTTATGAGGCGCGAGGGAGACGGGTATACACAGCTCTAGCTGCCCAGCCGCGCATGCGTCGCGTCGCTGCTTCAGCGGTTATCTCGCTTGCGCAAGCGTTGACTTGAGGCTGCTTGCGTTACGCTTAAATGAGCGCGTAAGACCAGCAGTGCGTGTGTGTGCGCTCTGCTCGCTCTCACGCTCTCTGTGAAATGTTGTTGGGCGAGCGCGTGAGTTTTGAGCTGCTGTTAAAAGCGCGTGGTTATGCTATTTACCACGGTTAACAGATCGCTTGTGACGTTAGATTCGCTGGCTCTTTCACACAATGATCGCACGTTAACAGAGCACTGTTAGCACAGATCGCTTTGCATAACCAAGTATTACTCAATCGCACCTATTAACAACTATTAACTGTAGGTCTTGAATATGCTAGCTAAGCTTGTTTAATTTAGAGCTATAATTAATATATGTATGTATTGATTTATTTATAGAAAGCATGTAAACAGCAGCAAATTCATTAAGGAAACAGATCAGAAATATGCTAACTATCTGGCAGCTCTGCTGAGCGTCTGAGCATGAGTGAATTTTTTTGGGTAGGGGAAAGATTGTTCGTTAACAATGATTGTTCAAATTTTGGAGTGGTCGCTCTTTCTAGCTCGCTCTCTCGATCTCTCTCAATCTCTCTCTCTCTCTCTTCCTCTGTCTGTCTGATTTACAGTTTCTTTGCTGCTGAATGTTTATGTATGTATATGTTTTGATTGAAGATGGTAGGAGGGGAATTCTATGTACGTGTGCGCATTCATTGAGTGGAGAGGGTGGGGGAAACGGAGTTGAGGGGAAATTGATATTTATTTGTTTTACTTACAATCGCTGACACGCTGCCACTGATAGCTGCCGACATTGACTCCAGCTTCAACTTCCGACTCCCAGCTCCGCCGACTCCTAGTTCCAAATTCGACTCTTCTCTCTCGCTCGCTTCCTCTCTCTCTCTCTCTCCTCCTCTTTCTGTTTATCTCGCTCGCTTTCCTTCTCTCTCTCTCTCTCTCTTTCGCTCTCGCTCCATCTCCATCGATCTTAAGCCTCGAAAGGCTGCTTTTGTGGACTTTGACCATCGCCGCCCATTTCACGATATAGATCAGCGATCACCTCCTTGTAGATCAATGGATCGATATTCTTGCCCAGTTGATAGAGCAAGAACCAATCGCCAATGTTGCACCTGTTGGCCACCTTCTCCACCTCTTCGCTCTCGGCCAAGCGGGAGCGAGCGCGCAGCAGCAGGTGCCTCAATTTTGGTCCCATAACAACGGCAATACGATAGACCAACGAGATGCCCGACAAGATGCTCAAAATAATGAACCAGAACCAGAGGAACACATAGATCTTCTCATTCACAATGTTCAATGGCAGCACGCAGAGTCCGTCGAACTTCTGAACTCCACCGGATGGACCATATTTGTGGAATGTACATTTGGTGACCTTTGGAAAGACCTTCGCCATCGGATCGATACGATCATCGGGCTCCATTTCCGTGAACTTCAAGACATCGCTGCCATACGTACTGAACTCGCCATCCAGGAAGAAGTCTACGAAATAGATCTGCGCAATGACGTTGACGAAATTGAGGGCTTCGCAGACGAAAAACCGAAAGGCGTAGAAATTGTGACGATTCAGATTGCCAATGAAGTAGTCGACCAATATCTTCTTGCGATCGTTTTTACACTGATCATTCACAATGGGGCTATTGAGGTCCATCACCAGCATCTTCAGTCGGCCGCCCTCCCACGACTTCCAGAGGTAACGCGGCACATAGAACAAGATCGCTTGGAAGAAGAGCACAAAGCAGACCCACTGATAGTATTTGTGATATCTAACTTTGTCCTCGCCATCGACATGGGAACCGACGCCGGGCGAGGCGACATCATGGCCAACGACACCTGTCAGACGCTCGGGCACCGTGAACGTTGAATAGATCCAGCAATAGGTGTCCATCACACCGAGCGGTATCTCATCGACGATGCAATCGATGGGATCTCCGATATATTGGCGAGATGTAACGAGCAGCGAGAAGGCAATCAATATGATCACCGTCGCCTTGTAATGCATGCGAAAGACATTGTTATCGATGCAAACTTGATCGATTTTCAGTAGCCCCTTTACGGAGCCAAATACATCAAACATTTTGGCACTTTGTCGTTATATCGATTTACTGATTGATCGAATGTGGCAGAAAAATAGTTGCTTTAGTTTTGTGTTTGCTTGATGGATCGATAAATCGATTGGTTGGCAGCTTGATGAATCCTTTGTCCTCTGATCGCTTGATTGATCGACTGTCGCTAGCTCCGCGTTTCGTCTGGTTTCTGGCAGTTTTTTGTTTTTGAAGTTGTTTTTATTTATTTATTTTTTTTTTTTTTTTTAATGCATTAACTTGTTTAACCAATTGTTGAATGGCTAGATTGATGGATTGATTGATTGTTTATATATATATGCATATATATAATTGGGCTTTATTGCTGCGCTCGTTCACTCGTTCACACATCACTTGTCCAACATAACGCTTGAGAGAATGCACATCGGGCGAGCCGTACTGAGCCGTCGAACTGTTTCGTGGGAGGCTCAACTCGCCGCTGCTCCGTGCGCTGAACTGATCTCAAAAAAATTCCCTCGAGTGTATTTGAGCCGATGCTCTCCCATACACACGCACGCACAGTCGCTCACACACACACACGCACACACACAACAAAAATTAAGAACTCGCAGAGAAAGAGCGACTGTTGTTGTTGTTGACCGACAAAAAAAAAAACAACGAAATACAAAAAAAAAAAAAAAGAACGTATCGTGAGTCGTGTGTATTTGGTACTTTATATATTTGAAACGCCGTCGCAGCAGCGACCACTAAGCGCACTCTTCGAATAGAAAATTTCAACTGAGCCCAAACCCGAGTGACACGAATGTGTTCAGAGAGAGTCCATCAAACCGCTCACTCCAGCACATACACACACACATACACACAGGTCCAGATAGCGGCAGAGGGAGAGCGAGAGCGCAAAAGTAGCCAAGCTTGAGTCGTTTACCAACAAGTCAGTGAGCGACGCACACATAGCAGAGCGCAAAGCAGTGAGAGCGAGAGCGAGAGCAGAGTGTGAATGGCGTTTGGCCAGGTAATATATGTTGCTATTTTTGGGGTGGATCTTGTTGAGTTCGCGTCTCGAGTGCGCACATAAACACAACTGCATACACATTAACATAGATGTATGCAAACAGTCTCCGCTTTTATATCTGAGCAGGGCTTTTAAAGTGTGGGTATTTTAGTTAAGATATCTTAGGTAAGTAACAGGCAAATGGAAATTGTTGTTTAAACCATAATTATATTTGTATATAAATAAACGTTTAAATACATTGAATTAATAATATCACATTTAAATGTGAGTATACTTAATGTCAATATCAACCTCAAAATAACATATTTACCACAGGGTATATTTGTTGTCGCACATAGCACATCAGTGCAGTCGGGTTTTATGCTGCCGCTGGGAGAGCGCATGATTTACTGTAGTCCGCGCCGTCGAGACTCAAGCGCTAACTGGAAGCTGAGACGCGCGTCTCTTGAGTTGGTAACACACACACACACTCACTCATATATATAAATATATATATATACAGTGGCATAGTATGTTGGTGGTTAGCTAGGGCAGCAGCGGGGTCAAGTAGAAAAACAGAGAGAGAGAGAGAGAGAGGGAGAAAGAGTGAGTGAGGGGGGAGGACAACATGCCATGAGTCAGTGATGCCACTGATGCTGAAATGTCGCCATTTTCTTAAGCCAGCTTCAACTTGGCCAATACACACACTTGGCCACCTTTTTGTGTGTGTGTGTGTTTGCCAATTGCTGCTTAACTGCATTTGCGTTTACATTTTTGGCTGCCAGCTGCACATCTGGCAACGCTGCAGGCGCTACAATAAACCCTTTATACCTATACAAACATCAGCTAATGGGGTATTTCCAAAACTTCCAACATATACGGCAGCTAACAAATGCAATGACGAATTTACCTTTTCTTCTTCCTTTTTTTTTTTGGAAGTTGTAAATTCGGAATTTAGTAATTACAGGGAAACTCTATGGAATATAAAACAGTTAACAGTTAGCCAGAAAAAAACAAAGTGATGGTAAATGTATGAAAAAATTAGGTGCATAAAACCTCTAAAATAATATATAAAAATATTCCCAGCCTGACAGTACTATCCCCACATTATAACCGACTAAAGATCTGATGTAGCTTGACTTAAAAGACACGTATAGTGTTATTATGCACAAATTGAAAAGTATGGCAACGCCAATTAATATTTTAAAATGCCTTGAATGGGTCGATTTCAAGTGTTATAACTGTAAAAGTGTTCGAGCCCAACATATCTCAACTTTTAAGTCAAGTCACTTCAAAAGACAGTAATTTTCCAATATCAAAAAAGTCTGGCAACATTTATTTGGCTTTGGATAAGTTTAAGTAGCACTTCTTTTCAGGCCTTAAATCATAGACGATACAAGAGAAGAATCAGAAAAGCAGTTAAAGCAAAGTTCATAGCTTGACTTGACGACACTCTGGCAGCGCTGAAAAGAAACTTGTTGGAGTTGGGGAGAAGTAGCAGAAGAAAGAAAGAAAACCGAAAATCATGTCGTATCTACGCAAGAGTAAAGCATACTTCACTTGTCGACAGTCTGGTAATGCTTGAGGAGAAAAACTTGTTCAATCTAAGGAGAGAAGCATAAAGAAAAAGAGAGTGTAAAATGCATACATATACGCTTAAACGCTGGGCTGCACCTAAGCTGCATGCCTCTCTGTATATGTAGCGCTCCAGATAAACAAGACAAGGTAGAAGGAGAAGAATACAAAGTAGACGACTTCGTTCTCGGAATTCGTCAATTGAGCTGAATAAAGCATCTCACCTCCACGCGGGCTGCAACAATGCAACGAGAAACAAGTTACTGCCAGATACACACACACACACACACACACACAAGCATACGAACGTATCTGTATCTGCAGCGTATATATATAGATGTATGTGTGTGTGAAGAAGCAGAAAGAAATTTGCTTTTTTTTTCGGTGTTCATTTTATTATTGACAACTGCTTTCACTATCCCGCGTGTTGTTTGTTCTTGCATTGTTATTTACCTGCCCGATAATATGCAGTAATTACATTTCCTTTACCTGCCCAACTACCTGTGGAGCACTGCAGCTGTGTGCGACTCTGTGCGAGTGTGTTTGTGTCTTTTACCTTTCGTTATGCTTTCAAGCCATGCCATCGATAGACACATTTAAGCGCTCAATCAATGGATTTTCCTCGCTCGCAATTCCCTCGTTGCCCTCACATATCATATAAAAAATCCACTCAACATATTACTATATACACAGGCCCATACAGGTATACAGATATACATATGTATGTACAAGTATGTATGTGCTTATAGCAGAGGTGCAAACCGGCTGGGCTACCTGTTACACTCGTTTCGTGGTCATTTACTTAATCTTGTGTCCGAGCCTCATTTATAGCACCTACGCGTATGTACGTATTACCTTCTAGCTCTATTTCCACTATCATCATTATAAATTTCAATGTCCACAAGAAATGATAAATAATATATACGGCTGTTCACCCCCCCCCCC